TATATATATATATATATTACTTTGTATAGTAAATCTTCTTCTTTGAATCAAGCCTTTTTAAAAAATAAGCAAGCAAACAACCCCACAACAACACGGGTTTTGGGTCACCTAAAAGTATTTAAAAACCTCTCCCAATTTCCAGTCTCCTTCTTCTGTTTAAGTTCTTTCTTTGAGCCAGTCTGGCATATAATTTTGTTCAGCTTCCTAAAAGTGTCACTTTTAAATCATCAAATGTATATGTTTGTTAATATATAAGCTGGTGGGCTATTATATCTAAAGCTGATCGGCTGTTCATTCTTGCACACAGCAAATGTAATTACTTCTACCTAAGCTACTATTCATTTTTACTTCTGATATCAATCCCTTTTCCCATGTTAAGCTTTTTTGTCCAATCAGGGCATGGTAACACTTTATTTACCAGCTCTCTTCCAAAGACAGGAGCTTTCATAGACTACACAGCCTACTTTGTTGGATGCTATCTGACCCTTCCCTGCCTTCTACTTAACTTCAGACTAATATGGCTACCTACCTCTCATTAAATGATTAGCGTTAAACATCTTTCAGAACTGGGGCAAAGGGGATGAAGTTTATTAAAATGTGAATCAAAGCACAGCCAAGGAAAAAAACATTGTTAAAGACATCCTGAGGGGAGAAGGGGTGCTTTATTCTGCACTCTCAGAGATTGATTGCATTAGTTGTAGGGCAGGGCAGTATTTAAAATGAGAAACAGCAGAAAGGTCTGAAATGCCTTCTGATAAAGAAGCAGGGCTTTTCTTCTGATTAAAGGAAAGATGCAGGATGTACCAAACTGATGTAACAAAAGATTGACACTAGGGAGAAAAGATTTCCCAGAAGTCACCTCAATAACTGCCAATTTATAAGAAGAAGAGGCTTGATAGAACATCAAGTAGCAGTAATAACTGAGCCTTATATCAGTACTTGGGCATGATTACCACTGAAAAAAACATTTTTTACTATCCTAGGTTTAATATTTGCTATTTCTGTACTTGGGATAGAAGAATCTATAGCATTGCAATCACTGTAAAACTGGCATATGTTGAACTTACGCTGGCTAGAAAGGTTTTGTACAAATTAGAGATCATCAAAGCCTAGATTTCTGCATTACTCTCTCAGGCCAACATGGTCATCTTCTTCAAGAAAAGCAAAAGGAAACACAATGGGAGATAAAGGGCCACTGACATGAAGGAATAGATCTGTCTTTTCAGAGTATTCTTTCTAGTTCTCACAAAAAACTGAAGACACCTCTATATGTATTATATGCTCTATAAAATTAGAGCCTAAGAAAAGGATAGGGTGCAAAGGAAGACTAGTCTGTTGGTAGAATCTTGCTACTGAGTGACCAGAGACATACTGTCTCCAATGGCCACCTCAGTCATGGATTTCCTATGCAGATCACGTTTTGTGCAACTAACCAGGTAGCCTATAAGGTGCCACCCTGCCCTACCTTCTGCCTGACTTCAAACTACCACAGTTAACTACCTCTGTTTAAAGAAACAGATGAGGTGTGAATCCCATGGAAGGTTCAGCATAATTTACCTCCTTTATAAAATTGGGAGCGAGTATACAAAACAATTTGTAAAAAGCATGGATCTAATCGAAGCAAATTTTGGGAAGTCTTTCAGAAGAAAAAAACCATGGCAGAGTCATTTGAAAATGGTTCTTCTTGGTTTTTTTAAGAGGATGTGTCAAGAAGAAAATAACTTCTTAAATTAGAACCTGCATCACATGTCAGGCCACAGCTTTGAACTTGGGACCTTAACTTGGCCAGCATGGCTGCTCATCTCAGGCTGTCATGCTATGGCTGATTTCCCAGACTAGTCAAGGCTGGCCTGAAGCCTCCAGTACGGCCAAGTGTTCTGCCTGCTCTTTGTCACCACAGTTTCTTGAAAAAGGACACTGTTTTATGATTGTTATAAACACATCGCTTGAATCTACAATGAAAAGATAAAAATCACCTCTAATTAATGAAACTTCATTAGTAAAAGAAAGTGTAATATTAAGGTTTCCAATCTTTCATTATCTCTTAGAACAGGGGTGGGCAAAATGTGGCTTGAAGGCCGGATGCGGCCCACCAGGCCATTCTGTCCCACCTACGGGGCCCCTAAAAAAATTTAGAAAATTAATATTTATCTGCCCCTGGCTGCCTATCATGTGGCCCTTGATGGCTTGGCAACATTCAGGAGGCGGCCCTCCACCCAAAATAATTGCCTGCCCCTGTCTTAGAAGCATTAAAAGCCGGTAAGATTTAACCAGATTTTTTTAATGCAATCTCAAGCTTGAAAATACATTCATAGTTTTTCTTGCTACATTTTTAAATGTGAAATAACTGGCAGAGAAAAGGTTACACAATGACAGACAATGATAGGAGGAATGGACAGAGGCACACCACTCTCAGAAGGGTCTTGAACTTCATCTGGTAGGAAAAAAACAAAACCAAAAGTGTGGTCATTATGACGGACAGGAGTAGGGGTCTTAGTATGCCCAAACCTATAAATATTGCTTTAAATTGTTCAAAGTCTTTTTTGCTATGATTATTATTATCTGTAGTCCCAATTGGAAATAAAACCAAACAGTTCAATTTTTTATTATTACTCCCTTCAGAAATTTGTTAACTAGCCCGTTTAATATAGTCCTCAAGAAATGAACACGCACTCTAAAGTCAACCATGATTCAGATGTCTAATCTCCTGAATGCCTTTATTCTGCCCCATTAAGTACTTGCTAACTTGAACAATACACTCCTTGATTCACACCTTTATTCTTAGATTTATTTTAAAAACAGTTTCTTTGTATTACTTGTACTATTGAGATGCAATACTAGCTACTGCAACCATGACCAAGAACATAAATACAAAAAGGCTAGCTGCGAGGCACAAGAAATTGGTAAATGGGTAATATTGTTCATACTGATGACAAAGGTAGTGCATTGGAAAGGAGATTTATTAAAACATCTACTTATTATGTAAAACCCTTTACACATTTCTTACACTGAACATACACACACCAGCAGTGACATCCTGGCCCCACTGAATTCAATAGGAAAACTCCCACAGATTTGAGTGAAATCATATTTTCAAGATCTGAAAATGTGTGTTGAGCTAGTTATATTTCATATTATATGAACTACATTTTCTAGAAAGAAAGCAGTTCCCTTGATGCTTCTCACAACAGCAGGGGACTGCACTTGATGACCTAGCCCCATTCCAACCTGGGTTCCTATCCTGCATAGTCTATAAAATGCTCCACATAAAAACATTCATTCAGCCTCAAGAGCGGTAATTACAACTTTCCCTCCCTCCCCAACAGGATTTTTACATGCAATTCAAATAGTAATTGCTTATTATTATACACGGAGCTAAAGATAAGGAAAGCAATGCAAAACTGTTCACCTGGGTATATCTCTATTAAAACCCCCCCAAATATTATTTGGAATGGACTATAATGGATAAGAATATAACACATCAATAAAAATGCTATGGAAAGAATCCCCCCTAAAGAATTAGGGCATTCAGCTTTTATTTTATTTTTGTAAAGTCTATGTTTCCTTAAAGTGCAAAGATTCATGCTTTATTAACTAAGATATTTGATTAGCACAAAGAAAATGAGAAATTAATAGAGGAGAAAATCCTTTGTATGAAGTTTGTTTTATTATAAGTGCATCCCAGAATTCTCCCACTTGAGAAAACTTATTACAAATATTTTAACACCCTATGAATTTTGTTATTAATAACAGATCTTGTGGACCATAAGTGGCTAAGCACCCTGAACCACTCAAGAAATTGAGTAGTATTATTACTATTATTATTTCAGATACACTACACTGTAAAATTAAGTAGTACTTTTGTATACCCGCACCTCTCCTTTGTATACTTTCCCCCAAGCAAATTGAGGTCTCTGCTCTAGCCATCTGTAGGCAGCAGTAGTTTGTCAGCAATACAAATAGAAATAATGTTAAGAATGTTTCTGTTTATGGCCTCAAAAGATAAAAACCTGTGAATACTCCACTGTAAAAAAAACAAAATGGGTATGGCCAGATGAATCCTACAGCCCTAAATTCCATGCATCACCCCGGCTAACTTACAGCTTTATTTAATTTTTTAAAGGAAATCTGGGTCCCGTTCCCACAAACTGAAGTATCTGTTGGTTTGAACCCTGTCATGTAATGGTGGAAAAAACCCCACTCATAAAGCCAAGAATAGCCATTCTAATTTCACATTTAGGCTTTAGTTTCTCCGCATCGTAGGTCCCCTGTCAGTGAAATGGGGATATTAATAGCAAGGCTGTCCAACTCAGGGTCAGTGGGTTCATGGCTGGCTGCTATTCCCTTTCCCCTGCCCTCACTTTGGATGTTTGCCGCCACAGGATGTTTGAGCTCCCCTTCCCTCTTGCAGCTTCCACTTTCTGCTCCCACACCTGGGGTGGGGAGAGGAAGCCCATATGGTGTGCAGCTCAGCAGGCCCACGTGCCATGCACCATGCAGACCTTGGGTGCTCAGAAGTTAGACAACCCTGACAATAATATTGTAATTTAAACAAAGCCCTTTGAGATCCCTGGTTGAAGGGTGCCATTCAAATAGTAGTACAATACCATTCTTAGCAAGAGTATTACATACTCTGCCTATTTCAAATGAAGCTCAAGCTGACTGGGTTTGATGCTCACTTTCTGATTAGGAGACCAAAAAAGAAGCAGCAGGAAAGGCAAGAAGAAAGTGTCCACTGGAAAAAGACATGGTGAAAAAATGGAATAGAACTTGAACAAAAGGGACAAATAAATACAGTGAGTGTAAAGTAGGTAGCTGAGAAAGAAAAAATAATTATTAAAATATGTTTGTTTACTTTATAGAGGGCACGGATAATGTCAGCTTTGCAGTTAAGGGATCTTTTCTCTCTAATATTGTACATAAAACACAGAATTCTTATTAGTGCTTTTTAATGAACTTCCCTTGAAAAAATTCCATATCTATAAAATTAGGAGGGAGCGATGGTTCACAAACTAACTACATTTGTGAATACTGCCAGTCCACAAAACAATTTGAAAGGTCAACTTAAAATCTATCCGGTTCTGCAGGGTTTACTCTCTCTAATTATAATGCCAATCTTTAAAGGGTAAAGTCAATTTTTACTATATTTAGATGCAGAAACATAAAACCATCCTCTCATACCCACAGCTTTACAGAAAATAGGAAGATTAGCTATATGTAATTATGACATTAAAGGAATGTAACTTTCACCACGAAGCCAGATCCTCTGCTGATATAAGTCGGTGAAATAATGGTTTTCAGAAGTGATTTTAGATGCCTCAGTTTTGGAGCGCCCAGCTTGAGACACCTCAATGGGATATTATTTTTAGTAAGTGCTGAGCATACCTTTTAAAGGATTTAATAATGGCAACACAAACCTTGGAGGCACTGAAAATGGTTAGTTTTTAAGACGTATCTAAGTTAAGTCCCTATTATTTCTTAAAGTTTAACAGGAATGAAGAAGCATGTTTCTGTTAGAAAAGGATCTCTAACGTGTTAGTATCAAGCGAAATATTTTTCCCGCCTGTTTAGATATGCTTCCATCTCCCCCCCGACCCCGAAACACTATAGCATCCATATGGTAAATCCATTTCCAATCTTTCCACTAACCATCTGCTTAGGTGGGTGAAACAAAGCACAATAGGTCTCTAATGTTTTTCTTTTCAGGTACCTTTTAATGCTGCAGAAAAAGTCTTCTTAAGATAAAATCCTTTAACCCCAAAGCACAATCTGGGAAGTGGTAAGCACAACTCTAGTGTAACCTTAACATTTCACATTTTTACACCACCTGAAAATTTGTCCTTAAGAACTGTGAGGTTAACATTTGCTTTATCTAGTTAGCACATAGCTAGCAGGTTGCTAATAACAAGACAAGACCTAAAAAAATCCTCAGTAATGACCACCTCATTCTACATTTTGCCATTCCTCACTCCACTTTCAAGAACACTACCTATCTATTTGGTAGAAACTATTAACTGCAAGTTCTGCATTTTTGCGTTTCAAAAGTTAGGGTATACGAAGCCAAACTCTTTATTGCTGATCACATCCAGGATTAGACTGAGCTATGTCTTGCAATGTGATGGGATGGTACTATACGCTGTCTTCAGTGGACCCAGTTCCATTGGAGCTGTCCACTTCTGAAAAGAACCGAGTGAGGGAACATTTGAAATAACTGTTGGCAAAAAATATACTATTTGTGTGCTACGCAGGGATTGTGAGCACGTTGTTAGAAAATGAAGAAAGGGAAGAAAACCACAATGCTGCTGCTTAGGGGGATTAACATGTTGAGCCATTTTTTTTTTTTAAATAGAGTCAAGGCTGAATGCATGCCATAGGCAAAGAAAAAATAATGATCTATGTAAAGTATGGATCATTTCATAAAACAGCCTGTGTATGTAACGTATGCCCCATTGTCTTACATGTACAACCTATTTGAAGCATTGATATCTGGCTGCAATCAAAGGTGCATATTTTGCAATTATGGAGGGCTAATCTTGTTTTTAGGTTAAATCTTATTCAGGTAAAATTCCCACTGAAGTCAAAGGGAATTTAATTGAGAGTTAAAGTGAGTAAGGCCTTTATGATTTAGCTTACGGCATTTATGTATCACACCTTCATAAAGTTTTACCTGCTCATACCATTTATTATATTAAGAGAAATATAATCCTCAAATGAATTCGCCATTTAAAAATATATAGAGCAAAAATATTTTGAAAATAAACAAACAACTTGTCACTAGCCTATAGACACTTAGCAGGGATGAAATCTCTCCCCAACATGATCCAACATGTTCCTGTACAAGTTTAGAATTATTTTACCCTACTGAAAGCCAGCTAATGATATTTTCTGCAACCCAAGCTTTTAGGGAGACAGAGCCTCTTATCCACGTAGTGTTATTTCATTTCATCTGGTTGTTTTACAGGCTTGCCCATGAAATGGTAGTTACCCATTTCAACTATGGAAAAATGGGTGAATTTTACTCCTGTGGAGATGGCCAGGAAGATATTGTTTTGCGGAATATAAGAGAAATTGTCCCATGATGATATAGTCTTTCCCTAGTATATGGCCAAGAACAACCACTGATTCTTCCGTTGAGGCTGATTGGTGAATTCCCTTCCCTAACTGCAACACACTGGAGAAATTACAACAGAGAGAATCACTTTGCACTCCCTTCTCCCTCTCTGTCACACCCTCTCACTCACCATGTTAGAATGACTTAGCTTTGTATGGCACAACCCTGACTCTATTTCACTCCCAGCCTTTCCTCATTAAAAACCCTTTGGACTAGGACAGGAAAAATTCATGAATAGCAGTGCTTCATAGTACATGAGGAATGTGGACTATTTGTAGGAACTCTTTAGAATTCTGGGCATGTTATGAATAGTGAATGACACCTGTGGAACAAATTTATTGTGCTTTTTATTAATTATGGATACATAGCTATTTTGGGATTAAGATTTCATTCCTTTAAAATCTAAAATATCTGCATTTCAAATATTACAGTTTTTAAGCACAATTATAACACCAACAATAGGGTAATAACAAATTTTGACTTTTACTTCTTAAAAGATATATATTTAGGTCATATAACACAGATACAGAGAAATATTTCAATCCTGTAAAAATGTCTCTTGCAAATCTCTTTGAAGTATTAGCTTTCCACAACCAGACTTGTTTTCATATTCACTTGTGCAATTTTAATGTACCTGAAACAATGAAAGATTACTGTAGCAGAAGCTCTCTGTAGGCTGAAGTCTGACTACCAAAGGGGGCCTTCCATACAGTAGAATATGCTGCTGCATGGGGTCATTACAACTGATGGAGCCCATGACAAATCTGTACCAAAGCAGACAAAGTACAATTGGGGTAGAGAGGCCTTTGACTGTGTAAGTCCCATCACCAAAGACTGAAATGAACTCATATCTTGCTCCAATAAAGAAGGCTAAAAATACAAAGAAAAGGAGAAAAATATTCTCTTCCCTGGCTATCTTCCTCCTGTATACAGCACCAGAAACGTTTCACTTTTAAGAGGGGAACAGATAAAATGTCCATTTTACAATAGCTGTATTTTTCTAATTGCACTATTGTATTAAGGACTACAAATGTTTTAGATCAGATAATATTAGACAGATTACCAGAAGAGTACAGTTCCACTTGTTAATAGCTTAATTGATCTTCAGACAGCTTTGGCAGTGGCCCTCAACTGTGATAATCAAAACTTCCTCTTCCCTCAACCCCCTAAAAAGGGTACCAGCTTTTGTGGTAAGATTACAATGAGAGAAAATATTAATAGGAGTTACCTTTTGAGCATCAGGAACATTTTTTGGTGACCTGCTATTACCAAATCTTTTCAGATGATAAAATGTTGAAGGCTGTATACAGATTTTAGTAAAGTCCATAGAACAGAAAGATCTAGTCATTTCCAAATTTTTTGTCCTTGAAATCATCTTTAATAACTTGGTATTTTTTAACCATCATTAATGACCTGGTAATATTAAAATGCCTTATCCAAAAATGATAGGATATTTTAATATGCACACAAAACAGGGCAAGTTAGTACAGATTTTGCTTAAACATCATACTCATTTTTTACTCACTTCTCCAAAGGCCAAAACTACTTTTCTTTTGAATTTTTGTTGCACTGAAATACAGCAAGGGAAAGATGATGACATTATTCCTTCACACACCCTACTGAAGTTCTATTCTATCTATCCATCTAGATTTCTATTGGTTCTTTTGAATGGGTCTAAAGAAACTCTTTTATTTGTATAATTTATATGCCCTTCCTATGCCTGCATACTGCCAGTTTAGATATGTCACCTGTAATAACTATGAAAAATTGCTATGTGCCTCATGCTCTATTTTTTCCATCTGCCTTAGAAGCTCACTCAACTACCAAAGGGAGTTCAGTTGCGAGTAGTAACAAATCTAATTTAACCCCACTAAGGCACAATTCTCTGGTCCTAATAGCTATTCTGAAAAACCCATCAATAGGAGGACTCTAAAATCTAGTTCGTCTCTTTTATGAGAATGAACTAGATTACCTAGAAGAATGCATTTCTTAAAGAGATACAGATAACTCAAAGATATCCTAAGGTAAAATTGTCAGTACTATAAAATATTGACATTAACAGTACCTTTATACCAGTTTCTTGTAGCTTATGTTATCCTAAAGAGTAGTGATCAACCCAGGGAAAGAAATTATTTTCTGCATTTAGAACTGAGGACAAGAGAAGCATAAAAAAAAAAGGAGGGAACATTTGTTATAAACCTGAACTTTATTTCAGCTACTGCTTACTGGAAAGGCTGCAATTCTCTCTCATACAATATGTCCAAAATATAATGTACACTTCGTTTTTGAAAGACAGAATGAAGAAAAAAATCTTCCTTTGTAGTAAGTAACTGAGTAGCAGTAGCTAGGGAGCCATGCCTGCCTGCTGTCCTGCTTCCTACAAATCACTGGGGATTCGACTTTCAGTTTCACCCAATATGTAGCAGAAACTGTTTTTACTGTATTCCTCAAACAATGCACACTCCAATTTCCAGCAACTGTTTTTTTGGGGAAAAGGTGCAAGTTGTATATTAAGAAATATGCTATATTCATTCTTTATTTTAGTGAGATGTGATTCAAACAAGAGACACGTTAAATACACTATGGGGACATTTAACTTTTTTCCATTGGAATTCTCAGTTGAAAGTCTCTTTGTTCAACACACACACATGGTGCATCTACACATGCAGTTAATGCAACTGAATAAACTACTCCCAGGTACTGCATCTACATGTGCACCTGGGACAACAGCAAACTGAGCTGGGGAGGTGCAGTTTAAGCCAGGACTGCTCTGTCAGTGACTACACATGCACTGCTGTGCAGTAAATAACTCCACAGTAGGAAAGTACTTGTATTTACAGGTACTAACCTGCTAAGGAGTTAATTACTTTCCTGCGGCCTAATAGCACTACACGTGTAGATGCGAGATGTTTACTGCAGAGCTAATTAGGCAACTCCATAGTAAGTGTCTCATGTAAATACACCCACCCACACAGACAAAATCTTTTACTAACATGGCCACTAAAGTCGGTCTTGGTAGATATTTGGTATTAATTTCAATCTAAAAGCCCAACAAATACTTCACAAAGGAGCTCCACATCCTGAAGCCTTTAAATGTACCAGAAAGGGATGGCAAGAAAGGAAGGGATGCTGTTCTTCCCTCATTACTGTGAATAGAGTAAAAAAAGAAGTGGTGAATCTTTATACATTTTGAAGTGAAAACAGAGGAGAACCCCTTTGCTTTACCCCTGGAGATGATGATGGAAATATCCTCTGAATAGGCAGAGAAGAGAACAGACTTATTGTTCTTTTCCAGAATATATCAATGGAAGAAAAATCACTTACCCATTTCAGATGTGCAACCAAGTATGGAATGGAAGCAATAACATTTTAAAAGGAAAAATCATTATTACCTGATCAGAGCATGGGGCATAATTTATCCAAAGGAATCATCAAGTTAATCTGTAGTAAGGAAGAAGCAATTTCATGGCTGAAACCAGGTTTTCAACTTGATGCTGTAAATGTCAGCGAAAGAACCATAGCTTTTAATTCAGAACCTTGAGTAGCTAACATACTACTAGCATTACCTACCAAATAAATTAAATGTCATTTTTATGAAGATTTTATGAAGCTTTACACTTAACAATGCTGGAATTTTCAAAGAAGTCAAAAAGATTTAAAGGCCCAATTTATGCTGCAATTCAATCCCTGCCTTTATCTTTCCTTTGAAAATCCCAGGTCAAGACTTCAACTTTAAAGTTTATAACCTCATGGGCATGAGCAAACCCAGTTTAGACCTAAACATATCTTTAAAGGGAAGTGCTACCCATATTTAAATCAAACTCTTTAACACTTCTGCACCCTGCAGGTTTTTGCTTTAACAGTTCTCTGAATTGAGAAACAAAGTCTGTTCGTTGTGAAATTGAAGCATCCAGTTTTATTTGCATATCACAACAGAACCAGGAAGATCCTTCAAATTGTTAAATGATTTGCCAGCATTTTTGTGATGGAGCCGTTAAGTGGACAGATATCCTACCAAGGCAGTGCTTGCACATCAGTGAGTATGACTGAATATTATTTTGCCTTAAACATGGATATTTGCCTTTAGCTTGTAGTAAACTCTGCTTGTTCTCAGCTGAAGTAAGAAATTGGCCAACTGAGTGGCTGCTTTGGGTCCTGACTCCTTCCCTCTGCATGCAAAATGTACCATGGAAGTGAGAATAGTGGAGTACTATGAAAACAATGCCAACATTGATAATTCCCTATACCAGATTGCTATTCCACACTGAGAAGCTGTAATAGGATGAATATACACATGTGGGTCAAGTCCTGTCCCAAGTAAGCCTGCTCAAGTGTCAAAAAATATTGCTCACTGTTGGAAGCTCTTATACTCTGGAAGCTCTTGATCAGCTTATCAGTCTATGCTACCCAGCATATCCCGACTTCTATGTACTTGCTGGAGTACAAGTTACAGAAAAAGGAGCCATGCAAAAACTCACATGCTTCTGCCAAAACACAAAACAAACCGAAAACCCCCCAACTGATTTAATTCAAAATGGAACGGGGTGCCTCTTGGGAGTTGCAGTTTTGAGCTCTAATTCAGAGATATTGTAGTCAGAGATGTTCATAAGGAACTCATGTCCCGTAGTGAGAGAGAACATGGTTTTCATGAAAACCCAAGCTCTGGAGGAGAGTAGGATCACAAGGCAGCCAAACAACTACTCTTGAGGCATAATTATGGCATTTTGGGTCTACGTTTTTCTTTTTTACTGAGCTTAAATATTTTGGCTTTACATATTTTGCATGAAAGTTTAAATGTTATGAGGGAAAACTTCATACAAAGCAAAAAATTAACTAAGCCAAAATCTCCCCTGGAAAAAATCCTATATTCTGATCAGTTCTGTGCATAGGAATGGTCATTTGGAAAATTATAGATGTAAACCATCATCAGATCAACGTGGAAAGCTCTGCTATCCTGCCTACTAGGTCACCTGCCTGAGGACACTCCACAAGTTTAATTCTGAATTCACTACCTTTGCTTTGACTTAGATTTTTCAGCATTGCTCTACTGAACTTTATCACCCTGGCACAGTACAAGTCTGGAAGTAGCTGTGTTCTTCACAGACATAATCAGACAAGAAAGAGTTAATGGTAAAATATTCGTGTCAAATTTGATTTTTCTTTCCCACTGTTCAAATCCATGAACGTTTTCATAATGATTTTATGGTCATTATTCAACACCTTCCACTGGAAGACTGATTTCCATTACAGCATCAGTATCAGCAAACTCTCATTTTGAATGCTTGAGACAAATGTTGAGGTTAAAGAATAGCTGATACTTAAACTCATGCATGATGCTGTATTTGTTATCAGTGTACTATCATATACTATATGGACAGATAATGCAATAATGTGCACGCTTATATATGCACAGTACGCATAATGGTAAATAATAAAGTTCTTTATAAAATGTCTGCAGTATAGTGTATAGATAGATACCGGAGGGCTGGCTTTACCCTGCTTCTCAGTTAGTCGGATTAGCCCATGCAGAACTCTGCTACCACAGCTATCACAGTTTAAGTACAACTAGCCTGGGTATTTGCATACTTCATTTCAGCTTGCAATGCAGATATAGGTCTTCACGTAATATCTCCTACAAGCCAGACTATGACTTTTGGAGGCTCCAACAAAATCAGATAACTGTGTCCTCCTTCCATTCACTATCACAACAGGAATAGCGTTAAAAAAAAGAGGATTCTATTTCAAACAGGAAACTCAAACTCATCAAAATCACTTGGATTTTTCTTTTTTTTCTGGTTAGAAGGTGTATGTAGAAGTACATGAATATATAAGGAATGGGGTTCATGATATTTCTCCATCACATGGCAAATGAAGATCTATTTATAACAAAACCCAAAATGTTGTGGGAGGAAAATAAGGGCAGAAAAAGCAAAAGTGCCTCTCATAACACATTAAATGGCACACTTTATATAACACTGACTTATCTTAAGTTGTACTCGGCCTGATTTAATAAAAAAGAAAATGCTGTTCATGTGGGTTTTTAAATGAAAGAAATTTTGTTAATTCTTTAATAATCCAACAATCCACCTTGTTACATACTTCGTTCATACAGAACAGCAACTATGCCTTTAAACATTTTGTAAACAGGATCTAGATGAATCGGGAGATGATAACGACTCTTCTTTTGTATTTGGTTCAAGTCCAGGTACTGTTTCTTGAGA